TGGAGTAATGCAATATTGCAATGTGTTACTATTAAAAGTAACTTTCTGTATATTACGAATATTGTTGCCTCTTTGGCAAACTGTTTTTGCTTCTCTTTAGTAAGTCGCTTTGGATAAAAGCATCTGCTAAGTACTTAAATGTACACGTAATGTAAACGTAACGGTCTCAGATGTTTCTACTAAAATTCCTTATTTTTTTAAGAGAAATATTATCTTTATAATCAAATTTTATCTTTATCCTAGAAAATAACGTGATTAAATGGAGAGCAAATTGTGTATACAGCACATGATAAAAGATCCACTGCATTTGTTTGTGTGTGAATATCACTGATCTCAAAGGAAATTGGAAAACATTCATACAAAAGCTGTCACTCGTGCTGCGCCCTTTTAAAAGGTACACCTTTTTACCTTATTTACCCTAAAAGTAGCTTAAACGTACTTTTTGACAGGGTACCACCTGAGTGACAGCTTTGTACCTTTTTCCTAAGAGTGTATGAAGTGTATCTAATAGAAATCTGTCACACACACTCCAAGTGCTCAGGCTTATGGATCGTATGTGAATGTGTGGTGCAGTTCTGTTTTCCCAGCTTTTTAGAGGTTTCTAATCCTGGAGAAGCCCAGTGACATCACCCAGGTCCAGAGTCTGCCCATATGCCCCGCACCCTAACCGTGCTGAAGGGGTTAAATCCACTCACAGAGACCTGGGCTTCGAGCCTGGATCTCTCCCTCGGTTGTATTTCTGTGACTGGGCCACCGCGTCATGTGATCAGGAAGCGTGGCTCCTGTCCATTTCCTCTGCTGGCTGAAGGGGAACATTGTTACAGAGAGGGCGGCGCTGGGCGGCTCTTACACACTGGGTTAAAAATAACCAGCATATTTAAGGCCGATGAGGAATCCCTTCAAGCTCAGAGGCGACGCAGACTGCCTCGCGACAGGAGCTCGCGCCTGCTCCTTCCTAATACTTTTCCCTCTTTATTTGGCAGATCGGACGGGATGATGCAACTGTCTAAATTCAGCTTAAACACACTGAAAACCCACCCTTCCTTCATGCTGAGAACAGGCAGAAATTCTGGACATGCAACTATAAAAAAATTATTTTATCAAGAAAAAAGCACCTTGTTTACTTTCTCAAAACAACAAAACAAAACAGCTCTACACACACACACACACACACACACACACACACACACACAATCACACACATACACAGACACACACAATCACACACTCGCACGCTCTCGCTCTCTCTCACACACACACACGTACACTCTCACACAATCACACGCGCACGCTCTCTCTCTCTCTCGCTCACACACACACACACACACACTCGCACGCTCTCTTTCTCTCTCACACACACACACACACACACTCGCACGCTCTCTTTCTCTCTCACACACACACACACACACACTCGCACGCTCTCTTTCTCTCTCACACACACACACACACACACTCGCACGCTCTCTTTCTCTCTCACACACACACACACACACACTCGCACGCTCTCTTTCTCTCTCACACACACACACACACACACTCGCACGCTCTCTTTCTCTCTCACACACACACACACACACACTCGCACGCTCTCTTTCTCTCTCACACACACACACACACACACTCGCACGCTCTCTTTCTCTCTCACACACACACACACACACACTCGCACGCTCTCTTTCTCTCTCACACACACACACACACACACTCGCACGCTCTCTTTCTCTCTCACACACACACACACACACACTCGCACGCTCTCTTTCTCTCTCACACACACACACACACACACTCGCACGCTCTCTTTCTCTCTCACACACACACACACACACACTCGCACGCTCTCTTTCTCTCTCACACACACACACACACACACTCGCACGCTCTCTTTCTCTCTCACACACACACACACACACACTCGCACGCTCTCTTTCTCTCTCACACACACACACACACACACTCGCACGCTCTCTTTCTCTCTCACACACACACACACACACACTCGCACGCTCTCTTTCTCTCTCACACACACACACACACACACTCGCACGCTCTCTTTCTCTCTCACACACACACACACACACACTCGCACGCTCTCTTTCTCTCTCACACACACACACACACACACTCGCACGCTCTCTTTCTCTCTCACACACACACACACACACACTCGCACGCTCTCTTTCTCTCTCACACACACACACACACACACTCACTCACTCACAGACACACACACACGCGCACACACACACACACACACACACACACACACACAATTGTGTTTTTCTGTCAGGCCCAAGCACTTATGGAAACTTGTCTAATGGCCCTGACGCCTAGTTCTGTTTCTCCTTAAACACTGTTTATCTTGGCGGCTTTCTTTTATTCTACCATTAAATTGCAGCATTCCCAACCCTTCTTTGAGTCTTTGAGTGCGTACAGTTCAATGGCTTCTATGGAATTACACCTGACCTTCGTTTAAGACCAGAAGCAAGAGTGTGTAGAATTAACATTAAAGCATAGGACAGATGACACCACAAAGAACAAATACAGAGCTGATGCACGATGAATGAAGAGTTCAGATGTTCAAGGATAATGTTTCTAAATCGACCTCATCTGAAGCATAAATGGATAGAACTGATCCAGACAGAACAATGGTTTGGGTAAAACGTATTTTGTTCTGATAGCAACCGTTCATTTAATGATGATAATTTAACCCACTCTCGTGGAAATGAATCTTTACACTCCACCATATGCAAATTTTCTGAAAGCGTCAAAAGAGGAGAGATCACCTGTTTATTTAAATATCAAATTTGCATTCTGATTCCTGGATAGAGAGAGATTTTCCCACAGGTACAGAGCAGTAAGACAATCCTTTTTTGATCATAAATCATAAGTCATCAAAGAAAGTGAACACAATATGCCAAGGAAATGAAAGAAAACACCTCTAGAAGCCAACAAATTAGTTTTGGCCCTGAAATGCAAACATATGATGATGTTCCAAACCACTGTCACTGCTATTGACAGACCCCGGAAAGTGCGGCATTTGCATAAAAAGGTGTAAAAGTCCTAATATAACCATCACTGCCATCAGCTAATTTCTATTTCCTTCCTTGCAGAGCGCTTCAGATGCTATTTCATCACCTTCGTATGTCGTGCTTTCGAAAAATCAACATATTTTCACATACCGAATCCAAGAGCGAAATCATAGCTTTGCAATAAACAACAGATGACATCAGCACTGCATCTGACGGCACTAGATAAAACACACACCTGTTAAACATCTCACCCGTTACTC